GCTGTGAATGGATATTTATGAATGTAATGCAGTTCACTATTGTCATGTAATAAATAAATAAATAAATAAATAGATGAATAAGTAAAAAAAGAAAAAAATAAGAAAAAAGCAAGATCTGAGGAGAGACAGGATTTGGACTACACTGTTATTAATTTAATTTTAAAATATACTTAATAATATTTATTTTTCATAGATATATATTATGAGTATAAAGGATTGTGTGGAAAGAGAATTGTAAAGTCTAACGTAAAACCTATCAGTGATGCCTCTGGAGTGGGATGGAAGAAGAGAATATTAAAACTGACATTATTTGAGAGAACCCAGGTGTGACATTATTTAGTATATATAACATGCTTAGGCTTGAATAAATATTATCTTTTGCTCCTTAAAAAAAAAAAAAAAAAAAAAAAGCAGAACCCCGGGGGACTGGGACTGGGCAGTTAGAGGGGGCTGTCTGCCCAAGGGAGTTGTTGACTGTGAACGGGCCCAATTTTCCCGAGGACACCGTTGCAAGGCGTTCGCAGAAGATGCCCAGAATGTATGTTTTGTTGTTGTTTTTATAATTTCAATCCTTTGAGATATTCTTGATGATTTCTTTTAATTAATTAATTTATTTATTTTTATTTGGTGCCCAGGATCAAACCCAGGGCCTCCCGCGTGCTAGGCGAGCCACAACCCAGCCCTGACTGTAAGGCTTTTAATTCGTTCTTTGCCAGCGAAGAGGAAGACCAGCTTCAGACCTGACCCGTCTACAGAGGCTTGTTCTGAGTCAGGGTGATCCAGAGGTCTTCTCTGCAAGGCAGAAGGCTGCAAGCTCTTCAGGTGGGGTGAGCCCCGCAGTGCAGAGGGAGGGATTCTCCCCGGTTCCAGAACCCGTTTCTGTGGCGCTTGTTAAAATGATCATTGTCCTGTGCTTCCTCCCCTACCGCTGCCTCTGCCTGACGTTTCCTTTCTCCCTAGTTCTCACCTGGTGGCTGGGCTACATCCTCAGCTCTTTTTTTTTTAATTTTTTTTTTTTTGTACCAGGTATTGAAATCGGGGGCACTCGACCTCTGAGCCACATCCCCAGCCCTATTTTTGTATTTTAGTTAGAGAGAAGGTGTCACTTCGGAAGGAGGCAAAGCCACTGAAAACTTGTACCCTGTACTCTGCTTTTCTTCTGTGACAAACACATCCGCCAGGCGGCAGCATCTGCTCCTTTCCAATCCTTGGCTTTGGGTACAGGGTTTGGGCATAGTTGCCTTGGAAACAGCTCTTGTTAGGGCGAAGAGTAGCTAGTGTCTCCCTTTACACATTCCTCCCCACCCTACTTGTTCAGAAAGGCAGTTTGTGTTTTATTTTATTTTCTTCCCTCCATCCCTCCTTTCTTTTTCTTCCTTCCTTCCTTCTTTCCCTCCCTCCCTCCCCTTTTTGTGTGTGTGTGTGTGTGTGTGTGTGTGTGTGTGTGTGTGTGTGTTTGTACCAGGTATTGAACCCAGGGGTGTCACCTCTTTGTAAGGTCCTCCTGAGCACCATCCTCGGGTCTCAATTAGCTCTTGTTCCCCAGGCATGCTCCCACACATTTCTCTATTTTCTTTTCCTCCACAGAATGTCTCACTATCTGATTTTTTATTCATTAACTCTCCCCATTCTCCATTATAATTTACATTCCATCAGGGCAGGTCCTTGTCTGTTTCACTCAGAATCTAGAATGATGCCTAAAAGCTAATAGGTATTTCCATATATAATGTTCACTGTGCTTTAAGTCCCAGTGTTCTCTCAATAAATCCCCCAAGGCCTTAGGTCCTGGGCTGTAATCTCTTGAGAAGAAGGCTGCAGAGGTGAAGCTGCCCAGAAGTCATTGATGGTAGAGAATAGTCTGGGGGCGAGGAGCGGGTGGGGATGCAGTGACTAGAGTTTTCAGTCAGGGGCAGGGATTGGGGTAGGCCCAGGGCCTGTTGATATCTGGACAAGCTAGGCCCCTTTCTTGCCCCACCTTCTCCTTACCATTTGTTCATCAACACCTTCCCTGGCAAACATGAAAGATAAAGGGTGGGGTGAGACTGTCAGTTTCATTTCCTTTATCAGATAAGTGACAATTTCCTTCTTGGGTGCCAATCTCAGGAGATATTATAGAAGAAATGTTAAGGAATCTTCAAAGGAGACAATAAACTGTTCAGTTTTGGTGTGTTTTCAGTTTTACAGCCAATGTGACATTTGTTCAAAGCCAGGTTTGGCCAATTTAAGCTGGGTAAACTTGAGTAAATTTCCTAACCATTCTGTGCTTCAGTTTCTGCTTTTTAGACTACTCATATTTATGGGATACATATGGGTTTAAGTTGTGCATCAAAAAAGGAATCATAGAGCTAGGCGCAGTGGCTCATGCTTGTGATCCCAGCAGCTTGGGAGGGTAAGACAGGAGAATCACAACTTTGAAGCCAGCCTCTGCAACTTTGCAAGACTCTGTCTTGAAATAAAAAATAAAAAAGAGCTGAGAATGCAGCTCAGTGGTAAATTGCCCCTGGGTTAATTCCCAGTACAAAATATCAAAAACCGCAACAAAAAACCTGTTGCTAAGGGAGAAGATGGTGGTGCTGGGATAACTTGTACACCTGCCGAGGGATATTTGTAGAGCAACTGAATTGTTGAAAAAAACTACAAAGGAGTGAAGAGGTACCACCACAGAAACTTCAGGCTTTGCAAAGAGTCCTTCAAAGTGAGTTCTGTAATGCTGTAAAAGAGGTATATGAACATGTTTATGAGACTATGGATATAAGTAGCAGTCCTGAAGTGAGAGCTAATGTAACTGCCAAGTCGCTGATTTGCTGCCAGTGGAGGACATTCTCATCCTCAAGTTGTTGAGCTACCAAAAGCAGAAGACTGTTCTATTCAATGTTATGAGAGGCAAGGAACAAAACTCTCCAATCTATAGATTTTGAATAATTCCAGGTGGAATTGTTGATAGGCATGAAGGCCTCAAATGAGGAGATCAATTCCTTTCTGTTAATGGAGTCAACGCCGAAGGAGAACATCATGGTAAAGCTGTAGAACTGCTGAAGTTAGCCCAAGAATAGGTTAAATTAGTAGTACAGTATATACTTAAAATATTAAAAGAAATGGTCACACTTTGAAATGAGATCAGTAAAACATAGGCAACAGAACTAATACATTTAGTTTTATATTCTAATCTGGCATATTGACACATACCTGTAATCCTACCAACTTGGGATGCTAAGGCAGGAGGATCACAAATTAGAGGCCAGCTTGAACAATTTAGTGAGATTTTAAGCATTTTAGCAAGACCCTGTCTCAAAATTAAAAAATAAAAAATAAAAAGGACTGAGGATGTAGCTCAGGGGTAAAGTATCCCTGAGTTCAGTCTCTAGTACCAAATTAAAGAACAAACCAATAAACCACCATCACCACCAACAACAAAACAACACTTTATATTCTGTTTTTTCTTTTTAATTAGAGAAATGTCACTTATGACCTACTCATGGCTGCAATGCCAAAGATTAAAAAAAAAATTGCCGAACTTCCGGTGAAATCCTCCTTCACATTTTATAAATGTCTGTGTTAACATTATTTATGATTCCAGAGATGCATACATTTTTTTTTCTGAAAAAGTAAAAGGTGATAAGGGTAATTCTGGGGGGAAAAACCCACTAAAATCACATTTACACAAACCCTAATATTGAATTATATAATAAAAGAATCCAGTCTTGATGTAAAACTGAAAATATCATCCTCCTTTGATTTCTTTGCTTTCACCTCGCTCCCCAGTTCTACCTATCTCCCCGCAGATAATCACTGTTGTCCTTTTGGTCACACTGCCTCTTTGTAACATCCCTTATTCAAGGCTTCCAGATTGTAGCAGACTGCAGTGGTTGGTGTGATGCTACCTAGTCCTGTGGCCCTCCTAATTGGTCCTAAATAGGAACAATGAATATCTCGAAATCTTTCCAAACGCTTCCAGTTGACACTTTCCCTCTTTTGAAGTCCTATAAATGCTTAGCTCACTACTTTCTAAGGCCCATACATGTGCTCTCCTATCCTGTCACTGCCTTTCCTGTCGGTGGTCAGTCCTTCCTGTCTTATTATTAAGAATGTAAGCCCTTTGAGGTCTCTATATTCCCATAGCCTTTCTGGTTCCTGCAGAGGCACAATATGAAGTCAAAAAGTCTATTTAAACAAGGGAGAACCTTGAGGGCTTGCGACTGGACTGAACTCTAGAGCAACAGGGAGGGACTTCTGCTGAGGATGCCTAGCCCTACAGCTTTCCAATGCGAGAGGCTGGATAGTCAAGCGGTGAGGGCTCATCCACATACTAGCTGTTGGTGCCATGCATGACCTTAAAGACGTTTAACCTTCAGAGGTGTTTTTTTTTTTTTTTTTTTTTTTTTTTTTTGTGTGTGTGTGTATTTTAATACAGACAAGAATCCTTAATCAACTATTATGAGGATCTATGGGGGTAATGGGTTTAGCACTAGTTTGAAAACGGAATCAGGAAAAGATAGACATCTTTGGCATCTCTGAGGAGACCCTCTGGATGAAGGAGAGTACACGTAGTGTAACTGCCTGGGGAAGAGGATGTGATGGTATTGCGAGTATTAAGACATTCCCTTCCCTTCCCTCGAGTCAGGCGGTGCCGCATTCCTTTTCGCCTCTCACCTTCGAACCCGATTAATCCTGGGTTTAATTCCATTTTTTTTCCGTGGGTGGCGGGCAGTGGTGGTGGGATTGAACCCAGGGCCTCGCCCACGCCAGGAAAGCGCTCAATAAAGCAAGCTACATCCTGAACCCCGTGAGTTTAATTTCAAACATGAGAATATGGTAGAAAATATCAAATAAAACGGTCACAGATTGAGCAAACGTTCATCACCCTGCCTTCACCTCGGCAGCCCGCGGATCTCCACGCCTTGTCCCGCTGCCGCGGGGCCGCTGATTGGCCCGCGCCTCGTGACGTCACGTAAGGATTTTTAAGGCGAAGACCCAGGCCAGCGCCGCAGAATCCGCGGTGGCGTTGAGCTGGCTGTTCGTAGGAAGGTGTTGTGGCTGCATCCGTGACTGGCACAGGGAGAGAGCTGAAGGTAAAGAGGTGCTCTGGCCGTGCAGAGGCAGCCCTCAGCGGGCTCCGGGGAGCTGGTGTTAGTGATCGAGAATGGCTTGTGGTGAACAGAGAATGGTTGGTGAACAGGAGGGTCACAGCGAAGAAGGGGCGTGCTTGGGGCTCCGGGACGCGAAAGGTGTGTGCCAGCAGGACTCCGTCTCCCGTCTCAGGGAGCGCTCGCACGCGAACTTATTTTGGGGGCACTTCCCGAGTTTTCCTTTTCCGCGAGGATTCTCGGCCGGGGATTGGAGGTCACACAGCTGCTTCCCTGCTACAAGCTTGGGAAAAGGTTTGGAAGCCGACTTTCCATGATATCTAGTCCTCACCCCTCACCTGAGTATCCTGGGACCTGAGGTTTTCTCTGGGTTTCATCGCCTCTCCTAGGGCCCCTAGGGAGTGGGGCACACCCCTGTTACATCTGCAGTTGCTTAAAAAAAAAGTATAAGTAAATGAAAGGAATTTTCAAAAGGGTGGGTTAAGGAAAGGATCAAGAAGTTGCAAGTTGTGTGTTAATTGCTAAACGTCTTTTTTTTCTTCTTCCCCTCCCATGACCTTTCCCTGTTTAGATAACCCAGCTGTGCTTCCCCTGGCCTGCAGTTTCAAGGCCCCCTCCTTCAACTGAGAGCCGAGAACTTACTCCTTAGTTCTGACCTGCCCCTTAGTTCAGAATGGGGAACCATTTGACTGAGATGGCGCCCACCGCCTCCTTCTTGCCCCACTTCCAGGCCCTGCATGTTGTAGTCATCGGGCTGGACTCAGCAGGAAAAACCTCCCTCCTTTACCGCCTCAAGTTCAAGGAGTTTGTTCAGACCGTCCCCACAAAAGGTTTCAACACTGAGAAGATCCGGGTGCCCTTGGGGAGCTCCCGCGGAATCACCTTCCAAGTATGGGATGTTGGGGGTCAGGAGAAGCTGCGACCACTTTGGCGCTCCTACACCCGCCGGACAGATGGGCTGGTGTTTGTAGTAGATGCTGCAGAGACTGAGCGACTAGAAGAGGCCAAGGTGGAGTTGCATCGAATCAGTCGGGCTTCAGACAACCAGGGGGTTCCCGTCCTGGTGCTGGCCAACAAGCAAGACCAGCCTGGGGCACTCAGCGCAGCAGAGGTGGAGAAGAGGCTGGCAGTCCGTGAGCTGGCAGCTGCCACGCTCACCCACGTGCAGGGCTGCAGTGCTGTGGATGGGCTGGGCTTGCAGCCAGGCCTTGAGCGCTTGTATGAGATGATCCTCAAGAGGAAGAAGGTGGCCCGGGCAAGCAAGAAGAGACGGTGACCTGAGGCTGTTCCTCCCCATGTACTAGGGGTCTGTACACTTGGATAGCCAGGCAGGGCCTGTGACCTCTTGGTCAGCCCAGATGCAGGATCTGTTCACCTTAATGAAGGACCAAGGATCAAGGGGGTCCTGTTTTGGTGCCACACTGGGGGACGGGATGGGAGAGGGGATGTTGTTGCACATATCTCCTTTATTCTCTCCTCTGGAGAAGTAGGGGCTGCAAGATTGGAGACAAATGTAAATGCTGACTCTACCTCGAGCTTGTTTCTTGTTTTCCTTCTCTAGCTTATTGTTTGGATATATTTTATGGGGGGTAGAAAGTTCTGAGAATGAATTTAGGATGAATGAGAACTATCTTCCCATTCCCCCTTCTTCTAGCTGGAGGGTTCCCCAGCTGCTTTTATAGAAATGCCAGTCATAATAGTCTTTATTTTTTGTGTCTGTGTGAAAATACCAAGATCTCTCCCTCACATTTGTAGACCCACAACCCTTTTTATAAGCCATGTGTGTTCTCTGTATTATTATTAACTATTTTTTAGCATTTGCCTGTAAGTTATTAAAGATTGATGCCTCTAGTTCTTATCTGGTCTGGCATTTTCCTCTCTTTATCTAGCCCCAGGGAGAGTTCAGGATTTCTATATGGGGTGGAGGGTGGAGGCTGATCTCACAGCTGAATTGGTAAAGTAAGCACTGATAAAAAATTAGATTACACACTAATGGGAGGGATGGAAAAAGTTAAGTAGGTAATTGAAAAACTCTGCAGCTATTATTGGTCTGATTTCTGTAGTTTTAGGGGATCACGCCTTATTTCTCTGACTTTCCTCCCCTCTTATCCTCTGCTGCTTGCTCCTGATACCAGCTGCCCCTTGTAGATTTGATTTCAAATTTTGCCAGTTGGAGCAGGTCATAGGTTCTTAACCTTGGGATTCCTCCTGGAAGAACCATGCCTCCCCATCTTTCTTGTTTCCCCAGTAGTCAGAGTCTGACTTTTTTTCCCCAGGAAGATAAACAGTGATAATGGAAAGTAATTCCTCCTTGGCCTTAAGCCACTTCAGTGTGCTTAATCCTGCTGACTGCAGCTCACTGGCAGTGACAGCACTGCTGGTGCTGGGGAGGCCTGGGCTGGCCCAATGAGTAAGCCTGAGTCTTCCAGTTATGGGAAAGGTAGTTCTCTTGAAAGGAGCCATAGCTGTCCATCCCCCACCTCCCATCCTCTGAAACAGAAAGGGAGAACACAGTCACCAATGTTAGTGATAGTAAGGATAAAATGCTAATGTTGCCAGTACCTGAGTGTCCCTGATGAGATTTATGGGTGGGGGGTTGGTCCCCTCTCATCAGCCCTAGGGCCAGCTGTTTCTGATAATGCAAAACAATTAGCTTCTGCTAATCCTTCTGGGTGGGAGTGGTGATTAAAATCTGAGCATTTCTTTCCAGTCCCCCAGCCCCTATCCCCTGTCTTGCCCCCACCCTTTGTGCAAACATGGGATCCCAGGGTGCCCCCCCCCATTCTCCTTCTTATTCCCACCCTTTGTGCAAACGTGATTGATCCCTAAGGTACATTCAGTTCCTGTTCCAGAATCAGATAAAAGGGCTGGGGAGGGGGGAAAGGTGCTGGCAATCTCCTCTATGTTGTAAGGGAGACTTCCTGAGAATTTGCTTCTTCCCACACAGGACTGCCAGAAGCTGAGCTTTGCTGCTGAATCTGGGCCCATTTAGATCCCCCACTCCAGAACACTAGCTGGCAGGATGGGGGTGAATGTGCATTGATCCAGAAGGGTGCTCAAGTGTGCGTCAGCACTGGGTACTGCTTGACAGGTACTGGGCTAGTTCTGCTAGGGACTTGTGCTACCTGGCCTCCCTGATATACACCTGTGACTAATCTCTCCCAGCCTCTGGGGCAGAGCCTTCTAGCCCAGGAACAGTACAAGGCCCTGGTGCAGGCTGGGAAGGATGTGGTAAGAAAGATCTGTCCTGTTGGAAGATCTTCCCCCACCTCTCCAATTCTGTTCCTTTGTCTCAAAATCTTCAAGGATATGTATACATTTTTTTTCTTATTTATGGTCAACAGGGAACCAAGGGCTCTTGTTCTTGATATGGGGGAAAGACATGCAGATGTATTCTCCCATTCCTAGCAGAGGGGCCTCCAAGGTGTCAGCTTCTGGTACTGGCTATGCCAACCATCTCCCCTTCCAATCTGGTTAGAACTAGAATTTGCTTCCCCATGCCCCAGCCCCAGGGCAGCTAGGAATCCTGGTCCAACAGAGGGGCAGGGTTGGGGAAAGGTTGTAGTTCCCTTGTCCCAGCTTCCTCTTAAGTAATAGTCTCTGATATGAGTGCTGAGGAGAGTTTCTGGGGGGCCAGGAGTGGTGACAGGAGCTCGATGACTATGGAATTGAAGGAAACCTGCAGGCCAAATTGGAATTCCCTTCAGAACAGGCCCCTCGGCTCCTCCCCATTTCCTTGCAGATTTGAACATAAAATCCAGGTGGAAGGAATTTTCTATGAATGCCATCCCTTGCTGGAGTCCCTCTACCTAAGGGAAAAGGTAGCAGCGGTTCCCCTCTTTCTCATGCTCCTTCCAGTCTTGCCTTTGCTGCCCAAGCTCAAGGAGGAGAGAAGAAAGAGGAAAGGAAGAGGTCTCTAGATTCAGAGTCAGCAGTGACATGAACAGGACTCACAGCTACTTAGTGGTACATCCAGATCCTTGCTCCCAGGCCAGTTCTTTGTTCTCCCAGGACAGGGGACAGGAGATGGGAGACAAGTCCAGCATTTCCGAGCTCTGATTGCTCCCTCCCTCCCTCTTCCCTCTCATTGATTAGATTAAGGGTCAACCTTGGGTTCCCCTACTCCCTTCCTGGAGAGTGGGAGCTTTATCTCTGCAGCCCAACAGGGCTCTGGCCTCAGATCTGCCCAGAAGTTCCCACCCTCCTTTCATACTGACTGTGTATCATTCATGTCTTTCTTACGCCTATTCTCCAGAATGGTTCTGTTTTAAAAGGGAGCTAATAGGCTGTGGAAGGAGAACAGTGGAGGCAGAAAGAGAGGCCCAGGCCAGCATTGGCTGGAAGGGGTGGGCTGTCTGGCCATGCTTCATTTCCAAGACCATCTGCTAGGGAGTTTGTGGGCGGATATCATTGGACTTCCTACCCTGGCTGAATTAGAAGAGGACAAGGATATTCATTCTTAAGTCCTTTAAAATTTTTAAAAAGTTATTTATTTTGGTGCTGAGGATTGAACCCATGACTTCTACATACTAGGAGGAATGTTCTCTATCACTGAGTTCTGCCCTTGGCCCTACTCCTATTTTTTTTTTTTTATTGTCCTCTTCCCTTTATTTACAAAAGCAGTAGGTCTTTATTGTGAAAGAAATGTAAAATCAGAAAATGGGAAAATAAGTCTCTCCCTCTGGAGATGTATTCCTTGTTTCACCCCAAAAGCTTCTTACCCTTAAGATGACCAGCATTCTCTCTTGAATGTGTGTCTCCTTTCCTAAATAAATCTTTGTGCCTCTGGGGAAAAAAAAGAGAAAAGAAAATGGAGAGACCCCTTAATCTAAACTTTAGAACTAGCCACTGTGAACAGGTTTTTATATATCTTTCCAGATACTTTTTTTCTCTTCATATACAAAAAAGGAATGTCTATAATAACACACATAGGATTATATAAGATGTACTTTTGTACAGTCTTGCTTTTTTCATTTATATCTTGAATATGATTCACTGACAGGACATGTAGATTTTTCTTTTGTGGTTTTTTATGAATATATATTTTTAGTTGCAGTTGGACATGTATTTATTTATTTTTATATGGTGCTGAGGATTGAACCCAGTGCCTTGCATGTGTTAGATGAGCACTCTACTGCTTTTTGATGACCACATGAGATTCTTTTTTTAAAAAAAAAAATATTTATTTATTTTTGGGGTGTAGATGGACACAACACAATGCCTTTATTTTTATGTGGTGCTGAGGATCGAACCCAGGTCCCGCCCATTCGAGGCAAGCACTCTACTGCTGAGCCACAAACCCAGCCCAACCACATGAGATTCTGTTGTGATAATGTATCATCATTTATTATTAAATCCTCTTTTGGGCTGGGGATGTGGCTTAAGCGGTAGCGCGCTCGCCTGGCATGCGTGCGACCCGGGTTCGATCCTCAGCACCATATACCAACAAAGATGTTGTGTCTGCCGAGAACTAAAAAATAAATATTAAAAATTCTCTCTCAAAAAAAAAAAATCCTCTTTTGAATTCAGAGTGGATGAAGCATGAATCTTCTTGCACATATTTCTTTGTACACTTAGAGACAACTTCCTGTAAGATAAAGTCCTAGAAGAGTAATTGTTGCGTCAAAGGTTTACATATTTAAAGCTTTCATTGATATTGCTAAAGTTTATGTGTTTGTGTGAGAAGGTCTGACAGGAGCCCAAAGTTAAACAAAGCTTCCTCACTCCCCATTGGCTGATGCCGAAGCCTCTTTACAGTGAGCTGTGTGTATGTGGTGGGATAGGCATCATAGTGCCCTTGCTTTTGGGGAGGTAAGAAGTAAAATCACCAGCAACTTGTAGAGGATTTGCTTGACTGGGGAGCAAGCTTGGGCTCACTTTCCCAGCCAAGGGATTGAGTACCACTGGGAGCTGCCTGGCTGGTGGTGGAGGTAGGCAGATGGCGAGGACTCCCTAGCTCTGAGCTTGTCACAGAAGTCAGAGAGAGTGGGCGAAACAAGTCCTGAAATAAATTCCCAGGACTTGGTTCAGGGAGGGAGTGGAGCTGACACAAGGAGTGCAGGCTCAGAAGGGAAGAGGGAGAAGGAGGATGGCTGTGGAAGCCCTGAACCACTCCTAGGACAATCCCCTGCCCACTCTGGTAGGGGTCCCCACCAACTGCTTTAGCTCATGGACTCCTGGAACAGGAAGCAGAAGCTCCAAGGATCAGGTTCCTGGTCCACTCTGGGATGTTCAGGGCATGATCTCTCTGATTCATTCCAGCTCCTGGGTTAGTCCTGGGTGTATGCCTGTCCTCAGTAGAGTGGGGGAGGTAGGGAGATAGAGAGGTGGAGAGGCAGAAGGCTTTATCTTGTTTGCAGCCCCTAGTAAATCCGGTGGAATGTTCCTTGGAGGAGGGTAGAGATGACAGCTGGCTTTTGA